GGGAGGGATGGAAGAGGAGGAGGGGGGAGGGGGGAGGGGAGGGATGGAAGAGGAGGAGGGGGTGGAGGGGGAGGGGGAGGGGAGGGAAGAGACGAAGGAGGAGGGAAAGGAGGAAGAGGGAGGAGGGAACTGAAGTGGACAGGCCTGGGTGGGTACCAGTGATAACATGTTTATGAAGACAAACAACATTAAGCTATAGTTAAACATGAAGCTTGAGGGAAAATTTTCCTTTCAAAAGTTTTAACATCTCGGTTTTTTGGTCTTTTGTGCCACAGTAATTTTCCAATGATGCATTTCTCTCATAGATCTCCCCTTGAAACACAAACAGCTAAGCCGGGCTGCCCACTGAAATGCCCGCACCTGTCAGCACGTGCCGCACTCAGCACCCCTAGTCCCCCTGCCTCTCTTGGGAGGGGGGACGCAGGTGTCATCCCTTGCCTCTGGGACTGAGACAGGGCCTGACATTCCATGAGTGGCAGTGTCGTTCTCCTTTATTTGACGGCAGTCACGGTAGCCTCCTGGCTTGCTTCCTTAGCTCCGGGTCAGGCGTCCCCGATTCTCTGAATTCCTCATTTTTGATCTTTGTCCTACAATCCCAATGGTCCAAACCTCCTGCTCAGCTATCCCCGTCCAGTCCCTGGGCACCTACTTTGACTCCAGCTCTTGGAGCATAACAGGCACCAGATAAGGGTTTGCTGACTGAGTGATTATTTGCTACCCAAAGCACCTGGCACCAATGCGACCCTTCCTTGTTCTCTTTGAGCTCCTTAAGAGTACAAATCCAGATGTCAGAGACAAAGGCTGTGAACGGTTTGGTGACTTTTCTCAAGCCTCAACAGTGGGAACTGCCGGCGCTGGGGAAGGGGCCTTAGAACAGGGAATGTCTGAGCTGGGAGGGCCCTTAGGACAAGAACGGCAGAATTGGGAAAGGCCTTAGAACCTGGAACACCAGAGCTGAGAGGGTCCTTAGAATGGGGAATGTTAGAGCTGGGAGGGGCTTTGGAATGTGGGATGTCAGAGCTGGGAGGGGCCTCAGAACAGGGAATGTCAGAGCTGGGAGAGCCTAGAACAGGGAATGTTAGCTAGCTCCAAGGCCAACGCTCTATCCACTTTGTCACTTGGGTATCCACTTAGAGCAGCGAATATCAGGACTGGGAGGGGCCCTAGAGAAGTGAAGCCCAGAAAAAGAAATTGGCTTGTCCAAGAGAAGGAACCCTAGAGAAGCATGTTCAGAACTTGAATCCAGATCTCTTGCCTCCAGGGATTTTAGAGTTGGAAGGGACCTGGGCCATCCACTCTTCCCGTTCCCTTGCCCTCCCCTTCCTCCCCTCTCTCTCTTCCCTCTAGCATATCCGAGTGGGCTGGGAACAGCTGCTCACCTCCATCGCCCGGACCATAAACGAGGTGGAGAACCAGGTGCTGACCCGGGATGCCAAGGGCCTGAGCCAAGAACAGCTAAACGAGTTCCGGGCCTCCTTCAACCACTTTGACCGGGTCAGCAAAGGGTCCTGGCCAGAGCAGAGGGCAGGGTGGGCCGGGCAGGAGAGGGTGCTTTCCCCAGCCAGTGAGGACAGCCCAGTTCTGCTCGTGGTGGGGGACGGGGGAGGCCCGAGGCCTGACATTCTCCTTGCCGATCATAGAAACGGAACGGAATGATGGAACCGGATGATTTCCGAGCCTGTCTCATCTCCATGGGCTATGACTTGGTGAGCGTTTCTCTGATGCCTCTGCACACACCACTCTCCTGGTCCCGTGAAGGGGGACAGAGGCGGCTTAGCCCAGAGCCCTCCCTTGCTCCAGGAGCTCCGTAGCTCCCTTCTGCTTGCTTCTAGAATAATATAAACCTACATTAACCTTTAACTTTTCACACTGACTCTCCTGGCTTATCACAGTCCTCTCCTTCACATACTCTCCATTCCAGCCAAATTGAACTTTGGCTATTCCCCGCACGAGTCCATCTCCCATCTCCCATCTCCAAGCTTTTGCAAAGGCTGTGCCCCATGCCATGAATTCCTTCACAATTTAGCCTACCCTGGACCCTCCAGCTTCTTACTTTGTCCAGGGTGTTCCCACCTGGTAGAGTACAAGCTTCTTGAGGACAAGGACTGCTTCATCTTTGTATCTCCATTGCCTAGCACAATGCTTGGGGCATAGCAAGTCCTTAATAAGTACTTTTTCAAAGGAAGGAACAAACGAATATTGACTGTAGGCTTGCTTCTGTAGGGAGAAGCCGAGTTTGCCCGAATCATGACCATGGTGGACCCCAACGCAGCCGGGGTCGTCACCTTCCAGGCCTTCATTGACTTTATGACGCGGGAGACAGCTGAGACAGACACAGCAGAGCAGGTGATAGCCTCCTTCAAGATCCTGGCAGGAGACAAGGTATGTGTCTGGGGCTGGGGGTTGGGGCACCTTGACGTCGGCCCTCGCAGGAGTGGGGGCTGGTCTCTGAGCAGGTAGCAGGGCTCGGTCAGGAGCTGAGACACCCCCCTTCTCTCCGGCAGAATTACATCACAGGGGAGCAGCTGCGCCGGGAGCTGCCGTCCGAGCAGGCCGAGTACTGCATCCGCCGCATGGTCGCCTACACTGGGCCTGGGGCCCCCGCAGGGGCTCTGGACTATGTAGCCTTCTCCAATGCCCTCTATGGGGAGAGTGACCTCTGACCCCCAGTCCTTTCCCTTGAATACCCCAGGAGTGTTCATTTCAACATCTGACCCTCTCCTTTCTTGGGCAGCACCTCAGCTGACTCCCTGATCCCATCCCCTCAATTCTCCCCATAATGTCCTTTGACCCTCTCCGCCCAAGGCGAGGTACCTGGGAGCTCAGAGACACCTATCACCTTAGACGCTCCCCACTGGCTGTACTCAATAAAGCTCCCCCTTCCGTGGCTGGGACCCTGTCTCTACTCCATACTGGGGGCAGGGAGAAGATCGGAAGCTCTGTGGGACCACAGTGTAGAAAGGGTCTAGTTCCATCGTGCCCCTGCTCCCCGCCCCCCGCCCCCTCCTTATGGCTGCAGAATCTCTCCTTGGGGGAGGGGCAGGGACTGGCTTCTGAGAGAGGCACACGATGAGTGATATCTAGGGCCAGTGACCCCCCAGAGGACCCTCCAGGGGGATCCATCAGCCATCCATTAAGCACCTACTATGTGTCAGTCACTGTGCTAAGCACTGGGGCTACAAGGAAACAGCCCCTTCCTGAAAAGAGCTGACACTATATTTAGTGAGACAAGTTGAACTTAAGAATATACAAAATAAATGCCCTTTTGGTGAGACGCCCTCTCAGCTGGAGGGGAGGGGAAGGGCTTGACATTAGGAAAGGCCTAGTAAGAGGCATCTGCCCCGACCTGGGAAGGAAACCAGGGGTTTTAAGAGGCAGAAGGGAGGCGAGCCAGCCTGGCTGGACCAGAGCGTGTGATGACCGTTGCATGGGCCCAAGTTGTGAAGGGCTTTAAATGCTGAATCAAGGAGTTTGTCTCTGATCTCGGAGGGCTGGCAGCCAATGGAGTTGACTGAGTAGGGGAGTGGCGCAGTGAGATCTGGCAGCCCTGCAGGCAATGGAGGATTGCAGAGGCCTGAGACCCGAACCATGGCAGTCCTACTAAGATACCTTAGGGAAAACTTCGCTTACTCCAGGCTGAGGCTGAAGCTGCCGTAACCAGGGTCTGACTGTGTGTGCCCTGGATCCCCTTGGACCGGGAGCAATCACCCAGACACAGGGAGGGTCCTATCTTTATTGATGCTAGAGGGTGGTCAGGCACAAGCCTTCAATTGTAACAGACATGGTTTTCATCTCAGCCAGGGGAGGAAGGAGAATTCACACTATCACACTGAGGGGGAAACTGAGGTTCAGAGGAGGGCCTTATCTGCAGTAGCTAGGAACATGACAGAACCGGGCTTCAGATCTGGGGTCCTGCCTCACTTGAGGGGACCCTTTCTCTCTGACCACCTCCCATTCCTCCAGCTCCATCTGAGCCCCCAGCTGCCCCTGGCTCCCTCCCCACACCGAGCTACCTTGCCCTCAGACAGCCCTGGGCAGGGCCGAGAGTGCCTACATCAACAGGAATGAACCACAATAGCCTAGGCTAGTCTAGGGGATCTGAGTGCACGAGCCAGGCTGTGCAGCTGCTGAGACATTGCCCTGCCCAGAGGGGTACTGCTGTTACCAACTGCAGACCTGAGCAGGTTCTCTAGTCCACGATGGCAGAGCTGGCCATGGCATTCACCCCACAAGCCCGGGCCCCTCGATATAAGTAATAATAACCCTGTAAGGAAGGAGAGGTAGAGGGAAAAAGAGCTGGAGTGAGAAAATGGGAGAGGAGGGCTGGATGGGGGGAGGGGATGAGGTGGGCGGGGGGGGGCAGGGCCTGAGGCCAGGACAGCTGCTACTCACCTCCTCGCCCCAGTCGCGGCCCCAGCTGTTCTTGATGGCCCAGAAAGGGAGGCCCAAGCCTGGGGAACAGAAACCATCAATGGTTCCACGAGCTAGGAGGGGCCCTGGGAGGACCCAGCCCTGGCCCCAGAAGCCCCTGTGGGTTCATTGAGAGACTATATTTCATGGTACAGGGTACTGTCCAAAGAGGAGGATGTTTGAGCCAGCATTTCTCCACCATAAGATACTCTCAAATAGGCATGTCATTCAGACACGGGGGCTTAGAAAACCCAATCTGATTCTTAGCGGCTGAAGCTACTGGGGAGGATGGGGTTGGTATCAAATTGTCCCACGGTGGCCACCTCCCACCCCACCCCACTCCTGCCCCCCCCCCCCACTGCCCCGGACGCTCGGTGACTTACGGTTGCCGTAACCCACAATCAGCACAGCGTGGTCAATGAACCAGGGGCTGCAGAGGGGCCGGAATGGGTGGGAGACCCCACGGCGGTAGAACTGGGGACAGAGTAGGAAGGTGGAGTGGGGGTGGGGGAGGCCCATTCCCTCCTGAGGGCTTAGGGGTCCCGTGGGGTGGGGCAGAGGCCAGAGCACCCTCCCTCACCTGCATGGCGAAGGCATTGAGAGCGACGGAGATGGGGCCATTCTCTGCCAGCCAGGCAGCGAGCTCTGGGATGGGAGGGAAAGAAGCGGGGGTTACTCATGGGGCAGCCCCCCAGGCAGCTGAGACAACGGAGGGTCTCCCTCACGACTGTCTCCCTTCCAGCTTTTCCTCCTCTACCTTCTTCATCGCGGCTCAGATCCACCGAGTTGTTGATGTAGGCTCTCGCCTTGTCAGGAGAAAAGCTGCAACGCTCCCTGTGGCCCTCGTACCTGTAATCCTTCTCTGTTTCCAGCCCGCCTGGGGAAGCAGAGCACGGGTTAGGAGGAGGAAGGAAGAGGCAGGCAGGGGAGGCCAAGCATTGGGCCAGGCTGAGAAGAGGGAGAGTCAGGGCAGCAGAGCCAGAACCCCTTCCCTCGCTGGGGTCCCCCCCTCTCCCAGGTCGTGCCTCTGCCTACCGAGTCTCTCAATAGCCGTATAGGCATTGGAGGGAAGGCCTCCACCACAGGCGTGGTCCAGGGTGTCACAGTCCACCAGCTCTGCATGGAGGGACAAAAAAAGTCACAAGGTGCCCAGTGATCAAGGCAGGGCCTGGGAAAGGTCTCGAGCCAGAGCCATACTTACCCTGCTCGGAAAGGGTCAGCAGGGTCCCATGGCGTAGAAACCACTGCCCTTCCACGTTGCCTGTGACAGAGAAGGCCCAGCAGGACCCACACAAGCCCTGGGGAGGGACAGAGGAGCAGGGAGCTGCCTTGGGGCCCACCCCCTCCCCAAGGCTCCCCAAGGCTCCTTCCTCCCTGGCTGGCCAGCCTTCCACCCACTCTCACCCCTCCTAGTGCTCTGCCATGGCCATTCACCTGATTCTTGACTTCCGTGACAGCCCCATGATCTCTCCAGTCCCAGGCAGCAGGGGCTGGGCCTTTTGCGGGCGGGGCTGGCCTCAGAGCTCGGCCTGGGAGGCTGCTTAATAGGGGATTCAGATAGAAAGTCCGAAACTCCTCTTCTGTGGGGAATGAAACAGACACTGTGGGGGAGCAGGCCTTCAGCACGGTGGGGGCAGAGGCTGAGTAAGGCAGAGGCTGGTGAGGCAGAGGTGGGTAAGGCAGAGGCTGGTGAGGCAGAGGTGGGTAAGGCAGAGGCTGGTGAGGCAGAGGCTGGGTGAGGCAGAGGCTGGTGAGGCAGAGAGGCTGGGTAAGGCAGAGGCTGATAAGGCAGAGGCTGGTGAGGCAGAAAGGCTGGGTAAGGCAGAGGCTGATAAGGCAGAGGCTGGGTAAGGCAGAGGCTGGTGAGGCACAGAGGCTGGGTAAGGCAGAGGCTGGGTAAGGCAGAGGCTGGGTAAGGCAGAGGCTGATAAGACAGAGGCTGGGTAACGCAGAGGCTGGTGAGGCAGAGAGGCTGGGTAAGGCAGAGGCCGGTGAGGCAGAGAGGCTGGGTAAGGAAGAGGCTGAGGCAGAGAGGCTGGGTAAGGAAGAGGCTGATAAGGCTGAGGCTGGTAAGGCAGAGAGGTTGGTAAGGCAGAGAGGCTGGTTAAGGTAGAGGCTGGTGAAGCAGAGAGGCTGGGTAAGGCAGAGGCTGATAAGGCAGAGGCTGGTGAGGCAGAAAGGCTGGGTAAGGCAGAGAGGTTGAGGAAGGCAGAGGCTGGTGAAGCAGAGGCTGGTAAGGTAGAGGCTGGTGAGGCAGAGGCTGGTAAGGGTGGCTCACATTAGCAATGCCTGGCAGACCACACCTCCCTGGGAACTGCTCTGACCAACGGACCCCCTGGTGGGGGTGAAGCTGATCCTGCTGTCCCCTCGTACCTGTGAGGTCACTGAACTTGGTGACTCCGTACTCAGCAGAACCCTGGTCCAACTCCTGCATCTTCCGAGCCAGCTCGAGGTTCCGGGCAAAGATGCCCAGACGCCGTTGTGTCTCTGTGGATGAGGGGGGTGGGGCTCACCCAGCTGCACTCTGGGACACAAGGGTGTTTGGGGCATGTCTTCCCAGGAAGGGTAGGCTTCACCAAACTGGCTCCGCTGCTGCCCCCAAGGACCCTGGGACCTCTGCCTCTGACTGGAGCTGAAGCCTTCTCTGCGTGTAGTCTCCCCGTTAGAGTGGGAACTCCCTGAGGGCAGGGGCTAAGCACAGTGCTTTGCACCTAGCAGGTGCTTAATAAATGCTTCATGCATTCAGGGAATAATGGGCAGGATTGGGGAAGGGAGATGAACAAGCATTTATTAAGCACCTAGTAGGTGCCGGGCATTGCGCTGAGCACATGACAAATATCATCTATGCACCCTCTACCCCAGGGGTGGGGGTGCTGTTATGAAGGGGATTTGTTCTGTGAAGTGTGGATTCAGTCAAAGGGCCGCACTTGAGGACCTAGAGGGCCACACCAGCCTCCCCCTCCCCTTCTGGCCTCCCTGGCTTCCTGCACGTGTCAGCTGAAATGCTGCCTTCTGCAGAGGCCTTTCCCAGTGCCCCGCCCCTTCCACATCCCTGCCAGGTAAGCCTTCCCCCTCTCAATGATGGTATTTGTCTTGTACGTTCTGGGAGGTGCACGGGAGCTCCTGGAGCTGTCCTGTGCATGGCAGTGCTTCGCACAGGCCTTGGCACATAAGAGGGGCTTAAGAAATGCTTCCTGACAGCCATTATGTGCCAAGCCCCATGCCACTCACTGCAGCTACAAAGCCCAAAATGAGAGTTCCTGTCCTCAAGGACCTTACGTTCTATGGGAGGAGAAAAGACATACACAGACAAACCTCGATGAAAATGATACCAGAGAACTGAGGTGTGGGGGGGGAGGGCAGGGAAGGCTTCCTGGAGGAGGTGATGCTTGAACTGAGCCTTGGAAGAAACAAGGGGAGGAAGGAGGGCATTCCAGGCATGGGAAACAGCTTGGGTAAGGGTATGGAGATGGGACATATGAGGAGCAGAGGGAAAGAGAGGCCGGAAAGAAAGGGTGGGAAGGGGAGGCCAGGCTGGGTGCCTGGTACATAGTAGGTGCTTAATCAATGCCTGTTCGAAGCTCACAGGGGTTCCTAAAGCCCCCAGGGAGTGGTGGAAGTTTACTGAGGAGGTGAGTGATGGTTCAGACCTGCTTAAGGAAATCACTTTGGAGCAGCGGCTGTGTGAAAGGGGAAACACAGCAGGGAGAGACGAGGCTCTGAGGCCAAGGAAGAACAGTAACAAAAACAACAATAGCAGCGTGAGTTGGTGTGCCCCGGGAGGGCGGCAGCGAGCTTTACAAATATGATCTCACTGGATCTACAACCAGGGGACGCAGGTGCTGTTATTTACCCATTTTACAGATGAGGAAACTGAGGCAGGCAGTGGTTTCGTGACTGGCCCAGGGTCACACAGTGTCTGAGGCTGGGTTTGCATTCAGGTCTTCCCCTGACTCCAGGCCCAGCACTCTGTGCACTGCGCCATCAGCTGCCCACTGAGGAGGCTATTCTAAGTACAAATGTCACCTCAGCATTGCCATTTTGCAGAAACGGAGGCTCAGGGTCGTCACCCCAAGAATTTGGCCCTGGGTCTTCTTGGCGTGACTTCTCTGGACCCTCAGACACCACGCGATGGAGCCTCCGGAACCGCGAGGTTGGATCTGCCAGGCCCGAGTGCCTCCTCACTTCCTGCGTGGCTCTGGCCCAGTGACCTAACCTCCCTGGGTCTCAGTTTCCTCATCTGTAAGAAGTGTGGTGATTGGATGGGGCTGGGGGAGGGTCCCCAGGCAGGCGGGCCTCACCTGTGGCATCAGCGTAGCTCTTGTTGTAGGTGGCGAGGAAGTCCTTAAAGAGTGTAATCAGCTGCACTGAGTCACCCTGAAACAGAAAGGTTCACTGCTCACGCGTCCTGAGCAGGGGGAGGGCTATGCCCCAGAACAGCCCAGGGAGGCCCACACCTGCACTGCTCTGGCTTCTCACCTGCGATGGGGGGATGGGAGGCTGATGGCCGGAACTCCAGGGAAGATGCTGGGCCCCTACCAGGGTGAAAGGAAGAGCAGCCATTAGGGGAGCCCTGGTCCAGGCCCCCTCCCACGAGGCCCCAGCCACTCCTCAGAGATCCCCGCAGGGCTCTCCCTTCTCACCAGGCTGGCCACAGTCCTGCTTCAGCAGCGTCTGCTTGGCCCACATCTGGTCCAGGACTTCAAAACGACAAAGCTGAGGCAAAAGAATGAGTCTGCGTTGGGGCAGGGGATCAAACTGCCCTTGGGAAGTGGGGAGCAGAGTCAGGGCAGGGCTTCCTGGCAGCTAGGGGCACGTCATGGGCCCCTTCCTGGAGAGGCAGCCCACTTGGGGCCAAGAAGACTGAGGCCTCAGGGTGACCTTGGGCAGTCCCTTCCCCTGTCTGAGAGGCTGTTTCCTCACGTGTAGGACAGGGCTGGGGTTAGACTGGAGGGTCTCTAAGGGCCCCTCCAGGTCAGAAGCCAGGATCCCATGATCCTCCCTGGACAAAGGGCCCTCAAAAGGTTGGGTCTCTTCCTCCTCAGGCTTTCTGAGACTCTTTGCCCCAACTTCTCCTTTATATCATCACACCATCACCATCCTCACCCTCATCACCATCACCATCACCATCATCATCACCAGCATCATCCTCATCCTCATCACCATCATCATCATCACCATCATCACCATCACCATCACCATCCTCACCCTCATCCTCATCACCATCCTCACCCTCATCACCATCACCATCACCATCCTCATCCTCATCACCATCATCATCACCATCATCATCCTCATCACCATCATCACCACCATCATCATCCTCATCACCATCATCATCATCACCACCATCATCACCATCATCATCTTCACCATCTTCACCATCATCATCCTCATCACCATCATCCTCATCACCATCATCATCATCACCATCATCTCCTTTAGAGCAGGGATGGTTTCCTTTCTATCTTTGCATCCCATTGCCTGGCATACTGCCTGGCACATAGTAGGTGCTTAATAAATGCTTACTACTTGATGACATCAGTCAACAGATCGCCAGGCCTGGAGTCATGAAAACCTGAATTCAAATATGGCTTCAGAACTTAATAGCTATGTGACCCTGGACGAGTCACTTAGCCCTGTTTGCCTCAGTTTCCTCATCTGTAAAATGGGGATGATAATAATAGCACCTCCTTCCCAGAACTGTTGTGAGAATGACATGAGATAATAGTAAAGCACTTAGCACAGTACCTGGCACATAGTAGGTGCTATATAAACATTGGCTATTATTATTATTATTATTATTATTATTATTATTATCGAGCATGCATTCATTATAGCATGCCAGACTTGGCCCTTAGAGGCTGCTTGACCTGTCCCCTCCCCCTGCTGAATCTGACACAAGAAGGAGCTGGGGGCCTCCCCAGGGTCTCCCAGGCAGTAAGCAGCAGAGGCAGCTCTAAAGTCCGGATTTTTCCACTGCACCAGACCCTCCAAGCTGCCTTTCCTTGCTCCTCACAACAGTTCTTGAGGCAGGGGCTGTTTCCCTTACAGATAAAGAAAGCTTAAGTCTCAGAGAGGGTGAGTGTCTGAGCAGATGTTTGGCCAGAGCATGGGAACCGTCTCAGTACTGTTACAGCCTCCTAGCAGACTGGAAGCTCTTGGAGGACAGGCACTGCCCGTTTGTACTTTTGCACATCAATAGTACTTAATAAATGTCGGTAGGCCTGGAATGGAGAAAAAGGGGCTGGGTCCCCAAGTCCAACGCCTTGGGGGCTGATGAGGAGCCCAGGGGCTACTCGCCGATCTGGAAAGACACCTTGAGTAAGGTTCCCACAGATGCTCTGGGAGAAACAGGCCTTGAACCAGATCCCCAAGTACCTGGGTATGACTCAGGGTGTGGGTGTTTATGTCTGGGGGGGCAGGAGCAAGGCTGTTTGGTCAGCTCTCTAACCCGTGACACTCACTGAACAGCTGAGTCAGACTTCCTGTGGATGTGTTAGGGCTAGTCAAGGCCAAGGAAGTCACAGGACCTGAGCCAGGCTCAGACCTGTCCGAGCTTGGGGTCTCAGTGCTTACCAGGGTCCCTGAAGACTGGGGGTCCTTGCAGGCTGTGGGGGGGCTGCAAGGAGGCTCATGCAATGTCACTTCTAGGGAGTACAGCACCCCATGGGCCATCTGAACAAGAGAGAGGGAGAGATCAGAAGGGGAATTGGGAACCTGGGTCCTAGCCCCTGAATCCAGCTCTGGGGCCTCCCTTTGCCTGTTCTCCACTGCCCTCACCCAGCAGATGCCCCCGTCCATTCTCAGGCCCCATCCACAGATGCCAACTGGCAGCCTGAGACCTTCCTCTTCCTCACCCCGGCCTGACTGCCTTCCAGATGCTAAGAGGGCCCAGAAGGAGCATGCGTCAGGAAGCCTTCCCCCTCCCTTCCTCCCGCCCTTCCCCTCCCCCAGGCCCCACTTTTCAGTGCCCTGGTCCAGAAGTGTCAAATGTGCATGTGGCCCACAATACATAGGGCATTGCTGCCAAAGCAGCCTAAAATGTAGTTGGGAAATATAACAAAATAAATAAAAACACAATAAAACAGGTAATACATTTTAAAACTATGTCAATATGTGCTCCACAGGGATCCTCATGTACAGTTTGGTGACCTTGTTTTTATTTGTTTAACCCCCCTGCTCTAGACAAGCCCTCTTGGGCTGGACCCCAACTCTTCCCCCTTCCCAAGTTACTGGTCGGGGCCCATCTGCTGTGCCAGTGCCCCACGGGCTCTAGAGCCTGGCCATGTGGCCTCTGCTTGGTTTTGTGAACCCTGGGCATTGCTGGCTTAGCAGCTGTGATACCCTCAGGACCCAGGGCCTTTCCTGCAGCCCAGAAGCCGAATCTCCCATGCACGTAGACTCCCCTCATTAGACTGTGAGCTCCTTGAAGGCAGGAGCTGTCTCTCCTCTGCATCTGCAGCCCCAGCGCTTGGGAGGCCCTCAGAAAGGCCAGCCCCACGTGTCCACCCTATCTGCCAAGGCCCACTCCACTTTAGTGCAACCCCTCAGCCCCCAGCCCCTCCTGGCAGGTGGAAGGCTCTCTGGAGCCCCACCCAGAGAGCCCTCACCTGCAGGCTCCACCCCCAGCCCTTCAGGCCCCCCCCCCCAAGCAAAAACCCCCCCCTTCCCCATCTTACACAAGGCCCCGCCCCCTGCAGTCAACCCCCCCCCTCCACCTGCAGGCTCCACCCCATCCCCTCAGGCCCCGCCCCTGAAGCCAGATTACCCTCTCAGTCCCCCGCTTCTTACACACAGGCTCCTCCCCCACCGCCTGAGCCCCGCCCCCTCACCTTCAGGCTCCGCCCCTGGACGCTCTGCGGCACCGCCGCAGCCTCAGGATCGCGGCCTCGGTTGTAAACCTCCATCGCAAACTGAGCCGGGGCCTCCAGCGTGGGGTCTGACGCCAGAGGAAGGTGCCAGGCACCCCCGCCCGGGAGCAGAGACGACAGTAGCGGGAGGAGCAGCAGCCAGGCCGCCATGGCTGGACAGGGGTCAGGCTCCGAGTCGGGATCGGCTGCGGAGCTCAGCTCTCGACTGCTCTGGAGGAACAGCTCGGCCACCAGTGAGGCCTCCTCCCGCGGCGAGCTCCCTGGAGGGGGCGGGGGCTTGGCTGACCAATGGGCGTGGAGACCGGCGGGCCGCGCCTGCGCCTTTGCCTGTTTACAGGAGCACGTGGGGCGGGGCGGGGCGGGGCGGGGCGGGCCCGGCCCTACTGGGCGGACCTCAGATCCCCAGGCTCGCCCCTCCCCTCCCTGTTCTCCTCCCCCTCCTCCCCCTCCCTGTGTTCCTCCCCTCCTCCCCCTCCCCCTTCTCCCTTCCTAGGTTTATCCTGTATCTTTGTACATAGTTGTGCGCCTGTTGTCCCCCCCCCTTCTATTAGACTGTGACCTCCTGGAGAGCAGGGGCTGTGTTTTGCCTTTCTTTGTATGCCCAGCGCTTGGCACAGTGCCTGGCACAACCCTGACATGCCCAGGATCTGTCAGCCAGTGTGTGACTGACGTGGAACCCAAGACCTGCCTCTAAGGCCAGCACTCTCTCCACTACCCCAACGCAGTAACCAAGAAAAACGTCCTACAGGGAGGGTGTAGAAGGCCTGCTCCGCTGGCTCCCGGTGCCCACGTCTCCCTGGGACGGTCCCATTCCACGAGCGGGAGTCAGATCTATTTCATCCGACAAAGATGCCGCAGAGCCGCCCGGCCCACTTCGGTGGGAGAATTGGGGAGGGGGTTCTAGTCCGTAGTAAGTGACATGGGACTCCCCCCTCTTCATCTCTGCCCCTTAGACTCCCCGAGACACGGTGGTCCCCCCCCCAGCTGCTAGCGCCTTCACCCCAAATCGCTTTGTATTTAAATGCAGTTTCTCTCCGTAGAAGGTAAACTACTGCATCGCCAGCAACCAGTCAAGGACTGGCACATAGTAGGCAGTTTGCTCACGGAAAACGACTTCCTCTCTTCTGCTGGAGGAGGAGGGAGGGGGACTTTGAGGGCAATGTGGCCCCACTGCCGGGGACATTGCTACGCGGTATTGGTGCGTGGCATGATTTCTAGGATTTTTGACATTTAGACGACCTTCCTTGCCCCGAGAAGCCACACAGGCAGAGGCAGAGAAACCACGTGAAGCGATGAGAGGGAGGGGCGGTCACAGTCCCAGCTGCGGGTTACCCTGCTTCCCCTTCCTCCTCCCACTGAGCGGCTGGAGGGCTGGGGGCTGAAAGAGCTGAGACCTTGTGGCCTTGGGGAACGTGCCTGAAGGTGGGGGAGACAGATCTGACGGCTCAGCAGCCCGGAGTGGCGACCGCTGGGGTCTCAACCCTTGCTCAACATTTTTCCCTGCAACGCTGGCTCCGCTCAACTCGAAACAATTTAGTAAATCTTTATTAAATGCCTACTGTGTGCTAGGCAAAAGGAAGAGAAAGAAAAAGACAGTCCGTGTCCTCCAACCCATCCTGACCTTCTAACTCTACCCCTATAGCTGGCATTTTGTAGCTAAACTCCCCTAGAAGGCTCTGCAATTGGTGTCTCCTCTTCCTGTCTCCCTTTCTTCTTAACTCTCCACCATCTGGCCTCCTCTGTAGGTTACCTCCAGTTCATTTCGTCTGGATCTCGTTTGTACAAGGTTGTTTGCCTGTCCCCGTCCCATTAAACAGTGACTTCTCCAGCAAACTGCCTTTTGCCTTTCTTTGTATCCCCGAGCTTAGCACAGGGAGAAGGGACGTGGGCAGTCATCATAAAGGAGCTTTGCTCCTTTACACTCATATACCACACCTTGTTCAGCCATTCCCCAATGGATGGGCATCTCCTCAGTTTCTAACATTTTGCCACCACAAAAAGAGCTGCTATAAATATTGTTGTATGTGTGGGTCCTTCTCCTTTTTTTATAATCTCTTTGGGATACAGACCAAGTAGTGGTATTGCTGGGTCTAAGGGTATGTGCAGTTTGGTTGCCCTTTGGGCATAGTTCCAGTTAAAATATATTTTCAAGACCATTTAATATTGATTGGACTAAAATTAGTCTAAGATGGGGCAGCTAGATGGCGCAGTGGATAGAGCACCGGCCCTGAAGTCAGGAGGACCTGAGTTCAAATCCAGCCTCAGACCCAACACTTGACGCGTACTAGTTGTGTGACGTTGGGCAAGTCACTTAACCCCGATTGCCTCACAAAAACAAAACAAAACAAAACAAATAAAATTAGTCTAAGACATTGGATGTACTACACTTTAATACACACAGCCAGAGGATTTGTGTGGGGTAGGTGAGCACAAGGTGCTTGGTGCCTGGATGGCAGCAGGGATGACAGAGGGCAGAGGAGAATGGAGGGGGGAGGGGGGGCCCAGGAAAGATTTGTATCAGGGACCAGACACTCTTGAGGAAAGATGTTTGGACAGAGGATGGTTCAGGGGGCATTAGAGACAGACAGACAGACAGACTTCTAAATGGCATTCGTTTGAGAAGCTGGCTCCGTCATGTCCCTGGGCTTGTTGAAATTCTATCGGTTTTCAGAAAATTCTCTGGGTGATTCTTCTCTCCCTGTGTGAGCTCACATCTCTCCCTCCCTCCCTCCTTCACTCTTGTATATTATTTGGTGGATTCTAATCTCCATAACGTCTCTGATTTTGGCTGGCTTGTTCGACTTGGATAAATGGGTTTGCTCAATAGTCACTAGTTGTGATGGTTTTTTGTGGAACCAGCCTTTGATAGCTGGTGAATATAAAAGCAAAGGCCACCCTCCCCCCTTAAGAGCAGTAAACGGAGCTCTTCCCCTAGACCACCAGGATTTGAGAGGGACAGATGAGGAAAGGGCACTCCACTTTGCAGGGCCCCTGAGGCACACTTTTCCCCGACAGACCTCGGGTGTGAGTGGTAAAGGCCAGGCCCCAGGCTCTCCTCTCTTCAGAGGCTGGCCAGACCACAGAGCCTATCTGTGCTACCTGCCAGCCATGTCTATAGATGTAGACATCTGTGTAGGCCAACTATTATATGTAAAATGAGGGGGTGGGGCTGAGTGGCGTCTGAAACCCCTCCCATGGCAACATGGCGCATTGGAGAGAATGCTGGATTTGACTCTCCTAGAGTTACTTACTCCCCTTCTAGGTCTCAGCCTCCTGGTCTGTAAAAGAAGGGCTTGGGCTGGGCCCTTCCATTTCTAAATGGATGATTCTTTGGCCCTGACATTAAGCCAGGAAATGCTCTAAAATGGGCGTGGTCCTGCCTTTGGCATGTGCTGCCTGTGATAATGAACTCCTCTGTGTCCTTGGTCAACTGATAAGACTGGGAGTTATTGCTGAGATGTTTTAGTGGAGGAAGTTTTCAGATCAGGATTTCACCAGACAGGATGTCCTCAAAGGTCTAGACATTACTTGTCTAGACCAAAAAAAAAAAAAAATGTTTTTCAGTACATTTTGTCTATCATTGTAAAATATACTTTCCTCTTTAAAAAATAGTTTTTTGTTTTTTCTAATTACATGTAAAGACAATTTTAAACATTCATTTAAAAATTTTTTTGAGTTCCAAATTTTTCTCCCTCCCTCCCTCCTCTCCCCCTCCCTAAAATGGTAAGCAATTTGATATAGGTTATATATATGCAATCATGTAAAACATATTTCCATATTAGTCATGTTGTGAAAGAAGAAACAGACCAAAAGAAAAAACCCCACAAAAAAATAAAGTGAAAATAGTCTGCTTCAATCTGCATTCAGACTCCATCTCTGGAGGCAGATAGCATTTACCATCATGAGTCCTTTGGAGTTGTCATTGTTTTATCATGGAATTGGATCATTGTATTGCTGAGAAGGGCTAAGTCATTCATAATCGATCATTGCAAAGTTTTGCTGTTATAATGTACAATGTTCTGGTTCTGCTCACTTCACTCAGCATCAATTCATGGAAGTCTTTCCAGGTTTTTCTGAAGTCTGCCTGCTCATCATTTCTTATAGCACAATAGTATTCCATTACACTCATATACCACACCTTGTTCAGCCATTCCCCAATGGATGGGCATCTCCTCAGTTTCTAACATTTTGCCACCACAAAAAGAGCTGCTATAAATATTGTTGTATGTGTGGGTCCTTCTCCTTTTTTTATAATCTCTTTGGGATACAGACCAAGTAGTGGTATTGCTGGGTCTAAGGGTATGTACAGTTTGGTTGCCCTTTGGGCATAGTTCCAGATGAAATATATTTTCAAGACCATTTAATATTGATTGGACTAAAATTAGTCCAAGATGGGGCAGCTAGGTGGCGCAGTGGATAGAGCACCGGCCCTGAAGTCAGGAGGACCTGAGTTCAAATCCAGCCTCAGACCCAACACTTGACGCGTACTAGTTGTGTGACGTTGGGCAAGTCACTTAACCCCGATTGCCTCACAAAAACAAAACAAAACAAAACAAATAAAATTAGTCTAAGACATTGGATGTACTACACTTTAATAGCCGGCAAAGGGCAGGAGGCTAGAAGCAACCTTTATAGGGTATTAGCATTGTCAGTATCAGGTGGGAGTTAAGGAAATAACCCCTTGGGTCTTAGTCATGACAATGGGATGTCTCTTAGACTTCAAGAGTATTCTCCATCAGTGGAGGGTGGGGACCTCTCTGGGACTTAATCCCAATTGCCAAAAAAAAAAAAAAAAAAAGAATATAAGTTGCACAGCAGGAAGCAATCTGCATTGGTGAAGGGAATCTCTGCACAGGGACTTCCATATACCAGTGAAATCAAACACACACACATACACACACTCACGTTCACCCTGCCTCACTGGGCTGTAGTAAAATGTCTTGTAAACTGGGGTATAAATGCAATTTTTTTTGTTCAGTTATGATGCTTTGTGACTGTATTTGGGGTTTTCTTGGTAAAGATACTAGAGTGGCTTGTCATTTCCTTCTCCAGCTCATTTTACAGATGTGGAAACTGAGGCAAACAGGGTTAGGTTAAGTGTCTTGCCCAGGGTCACACAGTTAGTGTCTGAGGCTGGATTTGAACTCAGGTCTTCCTGATTCCCAGTGCTCTACCCACTGTGCCACCTAGCTGCCCTGAATTTTGACCAGAAGAGAAATGAAGCTAGGAAAAAATTGGAGCTTTCAAAGG